TCACAAATTATGACACTCTCGGAAAATTCTTCTTCTATCGTCCATGAACAGAAAGCCATTTCTCCCAAAGAAACCTCCCCGTCGACTTGGTCAGACTTGGTTAACCCTGGTTGTTATGCGTGGCGCACACCCAAAAAATATGAACCAATGCTTAACGCTCCAAAGGGTTCAATTGTTCACTATTTCTGGGAACCTTGAACACTAGAATTCAACATCAGCGGACACGCGGACACTGCAATCCTAAATTCGATGAAAAAGGTATAGGTGTGCAAATGTGGTGCAGAAAGAAATATAGTCAGTAATCAGACAGTGGGAACATGATTCACCGTACTAGTGCCGTTCTTCAAAGTTTATACAGGGTGGCCGAAAAGTATAGGACGCGGCTTGTTGGCACTGAGCCGTGAAGTATTTTCAGAATGTTTTGAAACTCTTCGAAAGTCTTGCAACTATGTAAAACGCATCATATGTTGTTTGTATGTAAAAAGCATCATAAGTTGTTTGGTCCAAAGTTCATCTGAACTCTCGCCATGAAGATTTTTTTGCATCGACCCATTACCAAGAGGCTGCCCAATGACGGTCTCTGAAATTGCAACTTCGGAAAGCGACTCGGTATTCCCTCTTCAACTCTTTGAAACATGTTCGGTGCTCTCAAGGTTCAAGCACGTCTCTGGGATTGCGAAAAGTGGAAGTTCAAGAACTGTGCACACTCAGAGGATTGGGGCAATCACCTAGAAGAGGATGGCTCACAACGATGAAGCCAGCGTGAGTCACATCGCTTTTGATCTCAGGATCTGCCGTCACTCCTTCCAGAAAATCTTGGGAAGCAGTCATTATTTGAAGGTTACCGACTCTTTCTATGCTGGTTTTATTGGAGCAACCGATTCAACTGATAAAATGCAAAAAGTTTCTGCACGAGCTCGAGGTGCGCCGTGATTGGGTTAATGAGAAAATTTTCGAACTAAACTTCTTTGCGACCACCAAAGTCAGAGGCAGTTGTTGCCAAAAAGTGAGAGCAAGTCTCCGAGATAACGTCTAGTTTACAACAGACTTTCTCCCGAAGGTGTGGTAGTTTGTGACGGGGTAACATCCAAAAGTGCAGCTCCATTGGAGTTCATCTTCCACAAATGTTAAAATTAACTCGAAGGTCTTGCAAAAGACTTTAATGAGGTACGGTATGTTGTTCTGGATTTACGAGCATTTTGCTCAATGATCGTTTGCTCTTCAATGAAGCTGGGCTCCCTAATACGCGTTCAAATCGACCAAAGCCATCCTGGGCGCTCACTTCCCGGGCCACTGGAGCAAGGAATTGTGACCTTCTTCCTCTCAGGCCCTTAACCCGATGGACTCCTCTATGTGAGGATGTTGTAGAGCAAGACCTCATAAGACTTCTCCAGCTCGGTGGGTGCTCTGAAGTTAGCGCTTCAGAAGAGGTGGGACGACATCGCCGTTGGCTACCTGCGGCGCACTGCTGATTTTGTCGTTGGACGTCAGAAGGCCTCTCTCAAAGCAGAGTCGTCAAATTCAAAGCACCTTCTGCACAAGTGATCAAATAGCTTAACTCTATCTTTGTGTGAAGTCGGTTTCCTGATCGAGTCTCTTTCTTGGCTTTTACACACAAAAACATGGCGTCCTATACTTTTCGGCCACCCTGTACATAAGGCGATACACATTAGACGCTCCTCTTAAGGGTTATAGTTGAGGACTTTGGTTCCGCATCTGGCGGAGTTTCGCAGCGATCCAGTCATCGGTCCATTTTCGCACTTCTTCAGCATTTCGAAAGCAAACACAAGGCTGCATGCATTAATCAGCTAAAGTGGTACTCAGAAGGAAATTGTCTGTGGGGGTACATGGGGAAGTAAAACAAAACCTGTCCGAAGGCTTCCAACCTTTTAAATATCATAGTTGTAAAATGTGATTTTGCAATCATGGAGATTGGTTTTTGGCTACCAGTGGTGACTTTTGATGGATGCAAGCATAGAACACCCAGTTCACTCCTTTAATGCCTATCATCCATAGCCTGTTCAAATAGAATTCACCATCTTTTAATAAAAGGACCTTCTCTGAAACAAACAATTTCCGGGAAGAAAGGGGCGAAACACGATGTGTTTGGAGAGACGCAGGTGACGCACGTTACGCGCAGCAAAAAGTCCTTCGGAGGACTTTTTGGAGTTGGCCAACTTCAAACTGCCAGGTGCGTGGGTCAAAGCACGGTGTTGGAAAGGGAAGCACCTTGCATTGATTCGTCAGTGGTGTAGCGCCTGCGGTCTACGTTGGTGTTGGATCAGTCACGGGATCAATACTACTAGATGTCTAAAGGTTTGCAACCTTCGTAGGTTATTCCCTTTTCTCTACAACCCTTTCACCGTCGATAAGAAGGGCTCCTTAGTGCAGTGGTAGCGATGCCGCTCATGGGACGGTGCACCGAAAGTTCGAACCCGTGTGTGACGCAAGGTTTGCAGGCAACGTGGGGCTCACCACTTCCACTATGGCAAATTACCAATGGCTCAATAGGAACGTTCCACGCTGCCGCTGGCAAGGTTGCTGGATCTACACCGCTTGGAGTCTAAGATTTGCAAACAACATCCGTTGCTTACCTGTTGTCAACACCTCTTCCGATGCTGTGATCGAGTGATCCCTGGTGCACTGGCAAAAACCCGGCTATGAGTCCTGTCATCCAGGGTTCAAGTCCGAGAGTGGCGCAAGTTTTGCAGGTAGTGTGGCGAGGCTGGCGGTTTCAAGAAGGGTCATGTCCATGTTTCCACGTTCCTTGTTCCTCGTCAATGGGTGAAAATCACCACATTTGATTGCCAGTCTAGGGCACTTTACTACCGTCCCAGACGGCTAAAGCTTCATTTTTAAAGTCCCATCTATTGAGCACTATATTCACAATGGTTAGGATAGAAGCTCTCGATGCGTTCAGGAAAATTTTTTGGGATCGATCGCCAGGTTTGGAAACCAGATTCGGGATCAGCGCCAAAAAATCCGTACCATGAGATGCAGGAGGCGAGATAACAGAAGAATTTTGTCACCACATTTGAATGGAACTAATCACACATTGCTGAATCCAAACCGAATAATCCCAACTGACAACTTGAGGGCTCATGTGACTTCATGAAAAAAAAACATTATGAGGACTTCCAGACGACCGACATCGGAAGAATCTGCCAATGAAAAATGGTGCACGGGTCGAGCTCAACGGGGTTCTCGACAAAACGTGGGCCACTACGATGTATTTTGTAACGCTGGTCCCGAGGGGTGTACATAGTCGAAGCTCATCTCTGGG